GTAGCCTTACCTCTTCCTGTCTCTCTAGCTCTGTTCCTTTTATTTCCCCCTATGTAAGGTGGCTTTCAGTGCACAAAAAAGGTTTTCTTTCATGTTCGAGCTGCTGTCCATGGGTTACTGATGGGCCCTGAATGCTTAAATTTGCCTCAAATGGAAACTCAGTATGCTTTCTCTTTTGGTATATTTTAATTTTTAATACTATCTTTGTTAGAGAAGGACCTTGAATTAAAGAATATGTTCATTGTTTATATTTTATATATTATTAAATTCCTTATCCCCTTAACCGTATTTGCTCCCCCAAGAAGAAAACAAAGTTTCATTAGGAAGTGCACTAAAAACAAATACCTGGTTTGTATAACATAACATATGTTAATAATATAAGGAGAGTATGTTCACAAAGAAAAAGAGCAAGCATCTGAGTTGGCATAAAATTTCTTCTGGACTAATGGGCTTAAATTTTTGAAAAAATTAAACCTTTATTTTTTGGGGTTGGCAGCTGCTGAACTATGGAGTCGTTTTGCAATAAAAGTGAAGGATGCCCTTTTTTGGAGTCATTTAGGAGTGGACAGAAAAGCTCTAAACAATGTATTGCAGAAAATAATCTTGCAGTGGCAGCACAATCATCGTATTTCTTGCTCTGATCTCTTCCTTCTTCTGACACTTAACTGGAATATGTAAATTATATATATTAAAAATAGGAAATTAATTTTGGGCCTGTCAGAAAGATGGCTGTGATAGTCTTTGTTTCGGTTTGGGGCTGTCGGTAGGTTTTGTGAGTGCTTGAAAGAGACACTTGCTTCTGTACCGGGAATTTTACCATTGCTTTACTCTCATATACCAAATGTGGGATGCGAAGAGACTGGCACTGTTCCTAGGCCAGCAGTACCCTGTGTACAGCCGGCATGCTGCTGCAGCATCCTGAAGAAATGTGAGAAGGTATCTGAATTGAAAGAAAAGACCGTTATGCCTTTGCTATCAGGTGGTATTTTTTTCTGAGGCTCTCCGTATTTCTAAATAATGCTATTCATAAGTTCTGAAAGAGGTATTTGGCTTCATTTAAGTCTTAGGTGATTTTTGGGGTTGAGAAAGACATAACTTTGTAGAAATAACAACAACGTGTATATAATCAGTGCTCCTTTTTGCATTAACATTTACAGTGGATTTTGCTAGATGATAAAATATACCTCTAAAAACAATGTACCTGTCCCCAAAAACCATGAAATGATACTTTTGAAAGAAAGACTGTTTCTGCCTTTTATAAAAATAGGAAAAAAAAAAAGAAAAGAAAAAAAAAAATCAGAAGAACTTTGCAAGCTGCTTCCTCTTAATTCTTTGTGAACTGGAAAAACACTGTGTAAGGCATGTTTTTGAACATCAGCACTTCAAAGGTGACGTACCTAGTCCATGAGGCAGCACTGATGGCATATTTTGTCCTGTCTCTCTGGTACATTAGGCAGCCCTAAGGCAATTGAAAGGCCCGTTAGAGTCTCGTCCACCTAACCTTCCCATTTCTGCTTCTTTCTCACGTCTGCCAGACATGCAGGAAATTCAGATCTTTTAAATGTTTCCAAAGTGATTCAAAACCTCCCCCTTTTCTACCGTTTTCCACCTAGCTTATATGCTTAACTACGTTGACTTAACCAGACTCAATGTGTTTATAATTGTTGAGCATATGGCGAAAGATAGATGGAGATGCATATTTTGTCTGTGAGTAACATGCTGCCCACCAAAATGAAACCGATGGAATAATGAACATGTGCCTAGTTTCACAAAGCGTGCAGAAAGGGATCGTGTCTTAGATACTGTCGGCTGAAGTCCATGGAGGAAATCTTCACCAGCTGGATCGAAACCAGCCCACAGCATCACCTGCCTTAATGGCACAGATCCTTTCTGCTTCAGCCATTCTAGCAGTGCACTTTCCTTTCTCCTGAAAAGAACCTGTATACAGGAGATACAAATCCACAAGTGATAATTTGCTGTATGTGATAGATACCCTACAACATACATTTCCCCCATTACCTCCACCCAAAGGATTTACGTTGCTCTTATGAGGAAAAGGAGAATGTACTGCAGAGTTACTGCTTTGTCTGTTGTGACAGTTTGTTTCTGTGTAGACTGGAGAACAAGAGAGCTTACTGAAAATGACAGTATTGTGGATGGAAAAATAAGTAATGAGAAATTATTGAAAGTATTATCAGTTGTTCCTTTCTTCTACCAAAAGGAAAAATAGACACTCAAATTTATCATTTCTCATATGCCATGCATGAAAGTGATTGGGATAATTTACGTTCACACTTATTTTGATAGACAGTGAATAGATGGATAGTGAATTCAACTTTTTATCACTAGCCATCTGTATCCAAAAGCAAGAGCATTAGGAGCATTGCAAATTACTCTGTTTTGGGGTAGAATTGTAATTCAATAGAAAGGTAAAATCATATAAAGTACCTGAAAACTGACCATAAGTTTGCAGATATATTAGGATTGCAATGAATATAAACTATTGAGTTCCATTGAATTATTTATGGAGTTCCAGGACATAAGATTTCTGTCATTATGTTGACTGTGTTATAATTAGAAGAACTCTGGCATCAACTTCAAGTTGCACACAAACCAAAAATAAATAAGATCAATCATAAGATCATGATATTGAGTAAAAGAGCTAAAGTATGCTGAGTTCCTAATATATGGAGAAAAAAAAAAAAAAAAAAAAAGCTTCAGCTGCTCTGCTAAGACAGAATATTGAAGGTGTTGGAATTTTTCACTGACACAATGGTACAGATTTCAGAAAATATTTAAATATTTTATTCTAACATAGAGGCATCAGCAATTTACTATTCAGGACAAATTTACACATTTGTCAGTGCCTCTGAGTAGCCTTAATAACTGAGCTGCTAACTCTGGTGAACATTAAAAGCAGTCTGTGTTCTCAGACGGATCTTCATAAACTTCAGTAATCTATCGTACTCTACTGGAGCACATTGTGTAACTGAGGGTGGAATTTTTCCCCAGTGTATCTCCTAGATCCATTATCTTTTTATTTTTTTAATGTACTTTCTAGGTTCTTTTAATTGTAGAAAATAATCATGTAGAAAGTTTTGCTAATGCATACTGCAGGCCTTGGTAATTTGAATGTATTTTTATTCCCTCTCAAGTAGTAATCAGTTTTCCTACAACTGTTCTCTGCTTTTCAGGATTATTTAGTGTCAGCAGACTTCCATTCTGTTGATTTGCTTTCCTAAGTAGAACTTCTAGTAGAAATAAATTACTCTATAACTAATCCTACTTGCATATTTTATCAGCATTCTTTCCATCATTTTTTTCCTTTGCATTTATTTTAATCTTGCCCGTTAAAAATAATATAGTGATTTAATGATTTATCATGTCAGGGTTTTCTTGTGCCACTCAAAGGTAATGCCTGTCTGAATATAGGAACAGAATGACACCCTTGCTTGGAGTAGTTGCTTTATGTTTATGCAAAAAAAAAAAAAGCATTGTTTGGAAAAAAAAAAGGGGGGGGGGGGAGGAATACACAGCAGTGAACCAAAGCTCAGTTTCAAGTTTGCACCAAGTTTATTCCATTGTTTTATATTCTAGTGAATAGAAAGCAGTGAAACTTTTAAGATTATTTTTTTAGAAGTGCTTTATTTTGCACTATTTCCATTTAGAGATCCCAGTGACATGCATTCAGCATGGTATGACCATGCTGTGAGTACTTACTTATATGAACTCAGTATTTTTGTACACATAATGAACATCTGGTGACAAGACGCTCAGAGCAACAACAACAAAAAAAGAAGAGGAGAAAGAAAATCAAAAGGCTGTAAAATCTTTTGCATGCCTGCTACTTTTATGACTTAAAATATTTTTCCTTCAATCAGTGCATCTAGGGAAACTTTTTTTGATGTAACAATCAATTTTTAACAAGGAAAAAAGTCTGAACTCATAAATATTGTATGTATTAATTGTGAAGCTTAATGGAACATTTTGTGTTTCTGAACAACTCGTTTACATAATTAAAATCTCCTTTGATCTGTTAGTAAATGATTTAATCTTAATGCTCATTAGGCTAAATGGGTCTTCTATTCAATTGTATCAAGATGGTATGGAAAATTCTCAGACCTTTAGAAAATATTTGTTAATTGTTAGGTAAACACAGAAACCTATCTGCAACGAGATATCTTTTATCTCAACAAAAGTATTTGAGTCTAAAACTAATTCAGATTAAAGCTTTTTTTTCTGCTTTTGTCTGACAATATTGTTTAAAGAGCAGTTCACTGAAATAAGTGTTTTGGGGGTGGGATTGTTTTTTTTTTTTCCAATTTATAGTCATTAACTATTTCACTACAAAAACAATTTAGTCCTTGAAAATAAAACAAGTAAATAAATAATGTGGGGTGGATTCACCTCCAACCAAAATATGAATTTGTGTATGTATAAATCTCTTAAGGGAGACTAGTATCTTCTTTTAGGTCCCACTTAGAAATCCCTCTGCATAACGCAAAGCTCAGTAAAATCTGGGAAATACTCAACAAGATTTTTTTATTTTTTTTTTAGTATAAAAGTAATACCATGTACTATCATGGAAATGTTAATGTGACAAAGATTATCACCCATAAGTGTTCAAGGATACTTGTATCCTTGTATAGGATTCTTTCTTAATTTTTTTCTCTCTTAAATGCTAAGCAAAAAACTCTTATTCAATGTAAGGTGCTATAAAGCTATCTTGCAACTTCAGACAAAGTTGATAAGCTTGTCTAACAAATCAGTTTCCTTATGTCCTAATCCAAACAAAAAAAACTTAAATATTGGACAGCAGGGTAACAATATTTTGTTTTCCTCAAAAATGCTAAACCAAATAATTTACTTTGAAAATAATCTTTTTTCATTATCCCATCTGTAATTTTTTAAAGCCACTTTTCATTCCCATGGGAAGCTTTTTTCTTTTTTTAAAAGGTAAGAATTTTAATTAGCTCAGGTGGTGCAATAAACACAAACATCTGTGTCCCTTTACTGAAGGCCATTCTCAGTCCTTCCCCTTTCTCAAGAACAAAAGTATTGCACAGAAATGCTCCAGTGTCACCTTGGTGAGAAGGTAAGTGACTGGTGTCCACAGCTACTGGCTTGCTCTCAGACTAGCGTTTTGCTACAGCACTGGATTGTAGAGCTCGTCTGAAAATATTGAATGAGAGCAAAGCAAGCACACAGACATCCTGCCTTTTTCCCCAGAGACATTTCTAGCAATCTGCAGTTTAGGGACATCTTGAGCCAGAAGGTTATATCCATATTTAATTTTTCTTGAAAGTGTTATCTCCCATGAAGTAATCCATGGAAAACATATTAATTGTGCTATTACACAGATGCAAAACCAGTTAGGATGAAATGTACTTTTGCACACTAAACATTGAAAATTAATATTTGTTTAATATTTCCTATGACTAATGAGTATAGATAGTATAGATGTCCCTGCAGTATGCTTTGAGATGCTCTCTTTAACTGTTTCATTTATTTAAAAATAAATAAATAAATAAAAATTGATGTTAGAGTTTCATTTTGAAGTTACAACATTGTAATCTTAAATCAGAATTGCCTATTTCAGAAGGGCACCTTATATCAAAGTAAAGCTGTGTTTTTACCAAGCTAATTCTCATAATTTAAGAAAAAAGCAAAATCTGTCTTGGTTATAATGTTCAGTTAACTGAACTATTACTGAACAGAGTTCCTCTCTATGACATTTAATGTGGATTATTTTATGGTGAAATTTCAGAAGATTTACTACTTTTTAATTCTAGAAAAATGTCACTTATTTTAACCAGTATCATCTCATTAAAGTTCTTCCAGATTTGTAAAAAAAAAAAAAAAACAAACCTATTCTATTGACTACAACTCAGTCTGTGTACAAGCAAAATACTTTTTGCTTCAGCAGATTTTTTACTTTTGTAATTAATCAAGTCTCAAGTTTAAAGGCTAAAGCTTTTTTTTTTTTTTTTTTTTTTTTTTTTAATCAAAGCAAAACTTGTCCCTCTGATATCAGTTTGAACTAAAGGAAACAGTTTTTTGGCTCTGGTGAATGTTGAGGATTTATGCAGCAAAGTGCAGAGATCCAAGGAAACACGTCTCTGTCCTCAAAAGGATTGGTCTAATATATGTGCAAACAGTATGAAATACACATTTGCAATGGTTTGATTTGGCATTGAGGTGAGGATGTGTAACATTTTCAGAGTCACCCAAGGGATTTGGGCCCCTAAGTGCTCAGCTTAGAAAAGTACCAGTAGTCTATATGGATGGTCTGCAATAGTCATACTACCTTGTATCTGAGAGATCTTAATGCATATATTGGCTATTACTTGCCTTTAAATTTGAAACAGACAAAGGTATTTTAATGTGAAAAACAGACATGAAATATTTTTTTTCTCTTTCATGTTTCTATAGCTTGACTAAGCATTTCCTCCATCATTTACTCATTTTAACTACTGATGATAATGTGAAAAAAAAAACCTGCATGAGCATCCCTTAGATCCTCATGAGGAATATGGGACATTCTTCTCATTCCAACAATGTAAATATAAAAATACCCACAAACTAGAGAACGGGATGAAGTACGCTTATTCCATGTGACTGTGTATGGCCTATGATACGGTATTATGATAAGCATATAACTATTGGGGAACAAAAGAACTGAACTCTCTTAGACTAATAAAGTCTGAAAAACATTTGAAGACTTTTTCAGTAATATTCTGATCAGTTTTTAATTTCTGTGTAAATAAGCTCTGTGCGGTTTATTTGGAATTATTTTTGTTGGCCAGAGGATTTTGTAGTAAGACATCTGGGGTGACAATGTGTTTCTGAACAAGACATCACAGTTTAATTTTCTTTTCATGCATGTGTGTATGTTGTGCAATCTCCATTTCACATGCCAAGTTGCAACACATCTTCCATAAAACAAGTCTAATGCTGTTGCTATAAAAATATTACAGAATTAATACATAACATTTATAATCAGCCTCCTGAAACATTATCTTCATGTACTTTGATCATGGAGAAATGATACTGTATGTATCAAATAATAGTGTATTCGTGATGAAACTATATGGCCAAATTTAAATATGCTTAAGAGTTCAAATAAATGCATAATAAATTGTGAATTTAGTAATACTGTATCGATAGAGTGTCATGTAATTTTTCACTTCTAACAATGTCTTTTTGAATTATATTTCTTTCTCTGATCTCAGTGACAATTTGTGGCTTTGTAAAGGTGCTTTGTAAAAATATTTTGAGTAAAGTTCAATGCAATGCACATTGCACAGTGGAAATATTCTTGGATATATGTTAAAGAAAAGTGTGTTTCAGAAATATTTTCATATATTTTCAGTCTAAATATATCATTCTGAACTAAAGTCAGTTACATTTTTTTTTTTTTTTACAAATAAATATTTTCACTCTCTTAGTGATTTTTAGTTACCTGAATTCCTTGAACAGCCACACTATGTGAAGGATGGTTATCAGAATAGCTTTCTATATTGAAAATCATACGAAAGATATATATGCATGCTATTTCTGTACACCAGATGTTGGATTTGATTTCTTGCATTAAAAAAAAAAAAAAAAAAAAAAAAGAAAGAAAGAAAGGAAAAAAAAAAAAAAAGAAAACTAGAAATTCTTATTTCTGAACCACAGTTTATTAACCAAGCTATAGGGGCATAAGAAATTGAACAAAATAAAAAATGTGTTTGCGAATTGTAACAATTCCAACAGTAAAAAAAAAGACATCCAGAGAAAATAAGCCAGTGATTTTCAACACAGGTGAATATTCATGCATTAAAAAAATAATAAAAAATAAAAAATGAACTGATCAAATACAATTTGATATAAAAAAGATAGGCAGTAGTTTAAAAAGTGAGCTTATTCAATGGATATAGTCCAAGAGTGCCTTGTACGTAAGAATTCAAATCAGAAGGATTCTCGCTAAGAAATGCTTGTTTTCCTGAGACGTTGGGGCTAAACTGTTTTGCACACGGAAAAGAATTTTTTAAGAGGATATGTACAAATATAATTTTTTCTACTATTTTATAAGCAGTCATGGAAATGCTTGATCTTTGGAGGTCTAACACCAGGCTTTTCCCCTGAAGACCTGGACAACAAAGGGGTGCTTAATGTAAGAGCTTGGGTTCACTCAGAAATAAACCAACCACTGCAGGGAGGAGTGCCAGCAAGATGGTTAATAGTCACAACAAAAATACTAACAATAGTGGACAAATACCTTTTATCTGCCTTCAAAGTTAGTGGTTGGAGATGGTGAGACACTTAGTCTCTTAGTTAAGGGTAACTTTCTCATGATCATTGTTCATCACTAAAATTTCCAATTTCCCTTAATATTTTCTCATTTCAGAACAGGTTTGTTATTGGCAAGTGAACGACATGTTATGAGAGAACATTTCTGAAGATTAGGCCAATGCTCATAATGAGATGAGCAAGCCCAGACTGATACTTCTCCAGAATATTTTCCCACCTGTCAGCAGTTTGCCACTCCAAGACTTCATGACTCAGATATTTGCCTTTATATATATATATATATATAAAGGCAAATATCTGATATATATATATATATACACACACACACACACACACATTATATATATAAGCTTTAATGGATTTCTCCTCCGTGAACTTGATAGGGTTCCTCAATAGGCAAGTTCTGTCTCACTCAAGTCATGAGATCTTAGCACATGATGGTACAGTGTAGTTTACCATTTGGTCAGGGCCAACTAGTGAAAGGTACTAATCTGCTAGTTGGTACTTAGCAAGTGGATACCTTGGTACCACAGTCATTTGTGTCCAGAGAGCAAAAGCTGACTTTGATGTCCCTGAAGGCTTCACTTCTGCATAAACTCACTTTAAGAGATAACTGACGGAGCTGCAGGCATGCTGGAGGCTGACTGTGTCAGATGCAGAATTACACCAACATCAAATTTCCACAGCATGGCACATGCCCAGGTTCCTGATCAGCATTGTTTTAGAAATACAATGGCAGCATTATTTTTCTAACTTAGCATTAGAATTTTTCATCGTTTTATATATTGCTATTTGCATTAAGGTGCAAATTCTGATTAATGATATAAGCATTCTAATTGCTTAAATGGAAGCTAATGTTCATTGAAAGAGCTAACAGACAATTTATAAGGTTTCATGCTGCTACCAAAAGAGCGTTATAATATAGTAGTAGGAAATATTTCTTTCCAGTCATCATCTACATTTTTTGTTTACAAGCTTTTTTTTAATGGTAAAAGAAATCATGGTGTATTTGGGATTGAAGTTGTAGAACAACTGGTAAATATGAAGAGAAGGACTGTCTAATCATTATTCGTCAAGTATGGTGGAGATGTAATAAGATACTCTAAATGCTTTTACCTCAGTAGACCTATGTTAGGTGCCTGATACAGTGATGTGCCACGAGGTTGTGTTATTCAGAGGAAACTTTTAAACTGGCTCCCAAAGTCATGCAGATTCTTAAACATTCCTATGCAGTGTACTTTCCTGCTTGTGTCCTGTGAGGTTTGTCCTTTCATCAGTCCACTTGTCCCTTATTTTCCATCAGTTTTAGGAGGTTTTATTTGTCAAGAAAGAAACAGATACTTTAGATAGTATCTTAGTGCTTCTGATTCTCACTTAAAAATTCTCAATTAAAAGCCAGAGGAGTATTCTGAAATCATTTGATGGCTCCTAGTATATTATTACTCTACGGATCAAACTGCATTAGTATACTGCAGTCAACCAGCCTTTTGTCTCCTGGCAAACAACTCAGTAATTAGGATTTCATGGTTCACAGTTAAGTCCTACAGTCTGAGGCTGGTGTTTCTTCTTTGGTAACATAACCTCATGTAAGGGAAGCGTGGTTTTACAGGTAGAAGACTGAAACAGAATTTCAAAGTCTCTTGTCTTTTTCAAAATAGCAAGGGCACCAAGAAGAGTTTGAATGTAACTTCTTTTTTTCCTGAAATGGAACACGTATTCCTGAAACATAGCACACTATTAAAAGAACTTGCAATATTTTGGGGATATTATGATTAAAATATGGCCTATTTTAGATAAATTACT